ATATAAGAGACGGGTTGTACCAGTCTCTAAGAAAACGTCCTTCGGTTTATTGGTAATACGATATTACAGAAAGGAGCGCCTTTGTCTGTTATCCTTTGGCGATCCGGATACATTCAGTTAACGGAACCCTCTAATTAACCGTGAAATGTATTCACTGAAAAAATAAACAGGCGTAGTGACAAGGATATAAACACTGCACCTCACTAGAAGCCAGGTGCACACGAATAATAACAGAACTTACATTTTTTTTTACAGGATTCTGGTATTTTTCTTCTCAAAAAGCCTGTTAATTCTATTTATACTAGCCTCCGTAGCAGGCTTATAGAACTGGGGGTTTGGGGGTCTTCGGCTGTTTTCTGATTAGCCCAGGCCGGCTATGTTGTCTATATGCAATCAGAAAATAGCACATGCTAGCTCCCAAAGACCTCCAAAACCCCCAGTTTTTGGCATGCTATGGAGACTATATTTATACACTATTTGTAGAAAAACACCAAATAATCGCTTGACAACCATATCGTAGCCCGCTCTTAGGCCACACCAATTTAATTTCTTGGTTAACGGATTTTTCTAGAAAAATAATGGAGCGGGCGGGCGAAAAAAATAAAAAAATAAAAACAGACCTAGGCATCCTATTATGGTCCAAAATGGTACGATAGGAGCCACGAAGTCAACACACCAGGCTGGTTCAACATTTAAATAATGAATTTTGAACTTTTAATCATTAAAAGTGTCATTAAAATTTAATTGCATCATTGCATTGGAAGATGGAATAACTGTAACAACTAGGATGAAAAGGACTGTTTTCAACTGTTCAGGGCAAAATATGAGCATTTTGCAGTTGATTCTGAATTTTATTTTTATTTGCAAATCAGAAAAAAATGAAGCGAGCGAATCCGTTTACCAACAAATTAAATAAGTGTGGCCTTATGGTGAAGATTGTTCGTGCTAAAACCCAGCTTTATTGCTTTCTGCAGAAGGTCACAGGAACCCAAAATAAACCTCTTGTGGTTAGAATGAAAACAGCACATAAAAGACTTGGTTTCCCCGGTCTAACGTAAGCGGAAATCTACTTGTCTGGTAGCCTCCGTAGCAGGCTTATAGAACTGGGGGTTTGGTGGTCCTCGGCTGTTTTCTGATTAGCCCAGTTCTAAAAAACGGGGGTAATTCAACCAGGCCGGCTATGTTGTCTATATGCAAGCAGAAAATAGCACATAGAAGCTCCCAAAGACCCTGAAGACCCCCAAAACCCCCAGTTTTGGCATGCTATGGAGGCTAAAAACGGGGGTAATTCAACCAGGCCGGCTATGTTGTCTATATGCAAGCAGAAAATAGCACATAAAAGATTCCAAAGACCCTGAAGACCCCCCAAACCCCCAGTTTTTGGCATGCTATGGAGACTACTTCTCTGGTATCTTTACCACAGACGACATACGATATGTTTTTTTCTTCCTGCGATTTTTGAGCAAGTTTCTGACTTTGATTTTCTTCGGATCCACATTTAGCTTAACAGCTATTATTTCAGTGGTTCGTTACATAATACAACAATACAATATAAAGCCTTGGTCACAACCCGCCGTACGTGCTTCTGCGTGCTGTCTACGTGCAAAAACGTGGGCAAACGTAGGACATCCGTGCGTGGTGAGTACCGCCTCCGTACGGAATCCTTCTCATGCGTGCGGTCTGCGGATTCACCACCCGTGCGTGCGACGTGCGCGCCCCGTACAGCCTATGAGCGTAGAAAAACGTAGCAGACGTGGCCTCCCCAAAAAAACGTTCGGACAAAAAGCACGTACGGCGGGTTGTGACCGAGGCTTTAGGAAGGACTGGTAGTGGCTACTAAAGAAGCCTCCACTCATGAGGCGTCGCCAAAAATGGCCAGGATCCAAAACGTATAGAATCCTCCCTCCATCGCGTGAGATTTCAGCCTAAGACTGTTTAACGGGGCCTAGTGCGTCCCGGTAAGAGATTTTCCCCTAATTTAACCCCAATGGCCCTGACATTTCCACTGACACTCGATGGATGCGTAAAATTGGAGCGACAAAGTGGTCCAACTGCGAACTCCCTAGCCTCCTTCGCAGACTTCTGAGGGGGCTGCGTTAATTTTTTACGGGGAGTGACGCGACTTAAGCCCCGGTCACAACCCACCGTAGGTGCTTTTTGTCCGTACCTTTTTTTGGGAGGCTACGTCTGCTACGTTTTTTCTGAAAACGTGGGGAAGGAGTGGCGTCGACGCACGTCACTCGCACGGTTTCGCAAGGTGTAAGAGTGTGGTCTGCATGCCACGTCTGACCGTGAGCGGTTGCGTGCATCGTTCGTTGCGCAAGTGGTAAGTGAGTTGTACGTGCTTACAACGTACGATCTCTGTGCCGTACTCACACGTGCGTCTTTCGTACGGTACGTACGGGGCACGCGCGTCGCACGCACGGGTGGTGAATCCGTAGACCGCACGCAGAAAAAGTTTTAAATGCACTTAAAGTTCTACGGCGTGTCTGCGTGCTCCCAAATCCGTAGGATTCCGTACGGAGGTGGTACTCACCATGCACGGATGCCCTACGTTTGCCCACGTTTTTGCACGTATATATAGACAGCACGCAGAAGCACGTACGGCGGGTACCGGTTGTGACCAGGGCTTAATGCCGCGGAGGGACGGTTTTGCCGCCGAAGGACCTTGCCGGGGAGAGACGGTCTTGCATTTTATGCGGCGAAACCGTCGCTCCTCGAAAAAAAAAAATTAATGCCACCTCCTCAGAAGTCTACGAAGGAGACTATACCGACATACAGATACAAACTACATGTTCATGTTTATGTCAGTCAGGAAGATAAGAATATATAATAGTGCCGGACAGGAATCGCGAGAATGCTAGCCAGGCTGTATATATCAACTAGCACCCCTGAAATAGACAAGGCTGTATTACATACTATGAAACAGTCAAGTTGTACAGAAGTGAAATAATAATGTGACAATGCAGCTTCTGTCCTGAAATTTGCCGAATACAAATGAAAACATGACAAAAGTCAATTGTGAAACATGACAAAAGTCAATTGTCTGAAGGAAATGTATATTTCTGACCAAGATTACTATGATCCGTACCCCGTAGGAAGGCCTGATAGAGGCTAGTAATGGCGTTCAATTTTGGGCTCTCTTTAGTAGTCTCCACAAGGCCCTTTAGGGGGTTGAAAAAAGTACAAATTGGCCAAATATGGGGCAATTTATTGCCACGGACTTTTTCCAGGCACATAGAACACCCATAACCAGCTAATTCCGAGGCAAACTATTCTTCCTATTTGGTCGATTTCTACTAATTTGTCTGCTAGCATATTTGGTCTCTAGTGGAGATTGTGGAGAATTAATGACATAGTTCAGGTCGTCAGAGGTTTTAGAGAGCCAACATCATTCGGCATACCGTACATGGGCGAGAAATATCTGTTCTATGACATCATTGTGTTTTAGAACTTACCACACACACACGAACACACACGTACAGAAATGATGCATTGTACACTCTTTATAGGCGTGACCTCGGCACAAGTGTATGAAAATTTGTTATACTATCCAACTTACGGCCTGGTCACAACCCGCCGTACGTGCATCTGCGTGCTGTCTACGTGCAAAAACGTGGGCAAACGTAGGGCATCTGTCGGTGTGGTGAGTACCGCCTCCGTACGGAATCCTACAGATTTGGGAGCCCGCAGACACGCCGTAGAACTTTAAGTGCATGTAAAGGTAGTTGATAGGTTTGATGGGGGAAAAATTCAGTGCAAAAGAGAAGCCTAAAACACGCTAAAAACTAGAAAGGCCAATATTTGCTTTGGAGCAAATACAGCGATGGGTTCACCACATTTTACGACATGGCAGGGAAAGAATGGGAAACACAAGGGAAAACAATGATTTACATTGATATAACTATAATATGAAGTAAAATACAACTAAAACAACAGTTGGATAGCTATTCCCTACTTTATTGGCTAGGATTTTTAATTGCATAATGCAAACTGTTGATTTTCAAAATAAAAAAAAATATGTCCATGCCCGGCATTCCAATGCTGGAGCAGGAAAGCTTGAAATACCTACCAAAACACTTGAATACAGACATACTGTCAGTATGGAAATGCTTCTGTGCAGGTGTTAATCAAGTTAAATCCCAACAGCCAATCAGCAAGAAATGCTCTGTGCAGGTGGAAATGCTCTGTGCAGGTGTTAATCAAGTTAAATCCCAACAGCCAATCAGCAAGAAGTATAGAGGAAAGCTGCATGCCTATTGGTTGATGCCCTGCATTACATTGTGATGACTCATGCCCAGACGTGGTAAACACGGCAAACTACACAGTAATACATTAGCTATAACACAGCCAAAAAACTCAAATAAAACCATTCTAAAAGCCTAGTATCAACAATAATTTAAAAAACGCCTAGGGGTATTTGCCCACTGTACCTCCATACCAAATTTCAGGACCTTAGGCCCTAAAATGAAGAAGCTGAATCCAATTTAAAAAAATGGCAGGAGAAGAAGGAGGAGAAGGAGAAGGAGGAGAAGAAACATC